GGGATCATTCATATATATATATATATATATATATTATACCCTTCTTAGGTAGGTGGGCTTGTAGGAGCTCCCAAGCATTTCCATGTCGATGTTAAGGGTGCCGAGCTGCGGCAGCAGCCGCCAGACGCCAGTGTCGGAGGCCTTCGGTGCGGTTTTCGGGTTCAGGGTTTACAAGTTAAGAGTGAACCTTACACTGATTCGTGGGATTTTGGAAGGTCTTAGATCCTAAATGTAATCTTGTCGGGATTCATTGAATTGGTTGCCCTAAACCCTAAACCCTAAACCCCTAAACCCTAAAAGACAGTAGGCTTCTTTTGGATGTTCGGGCGCCGTCCGCTGCAGACTTGCGAGCACTCTTCGGGATGAAAACTTTGGGTCTGTACGGGTGTAGAGTTTGGTTTTAGAGTTTTGGGTTCAGGGTGTAGGGTTGAGGGTTTCGGTCTCAGGGCTTTGAGGTTTTGACGGTTTTAGGGTTCAAGATTTTGAGGGTTTTGTGGGACAGGATTTTTGGTTTCAGGGGTTTTGGACTATAGGGTTTAGTACTGCAGTGTTTTGGCGCTTGGTTTTTTCAGGTTAACGGGTCTTGACGTTGTTGTTTTGTTTTGTTCTTAACGGGCTCAGGGTCCTTGGGTTTAAAGAATCAAAGGTTTTAAGGTATGTAGGACTCATCTCACATAGGGAGCAGATCTTATTCTGGTCACGTCCATGACCCTTACCTTCATCACGGGGTCAGTAACATTACCTTTATCATTACGGTTTTCTTTGCAAGTACAATGATGATGCTATTGTCATCATGATATCGTGATAGCAATGACACCATGACACCGTGACAGCTAGATGGTGTGATACTATGATAGAGTGGCTGTTGTTCCTGCTGTTTGTCACGGCTGTTATGATGAAACATGACGATATCAAGATACTATGGCATTTGTCATATGTAGATGCAAGTCTTTGTATATATGTATATATGTATATGTGTATATACAAACCCTAAACCCTAAACCCTAAACCCTAAACCCTAAACCATAAATTGGGATGTGTCATGCTTGTTTGATTTGGGGTTGGATCCTTCGGGGTAGGGTCGTGCAAGCCTGAAGTCCTGCTGTAGTGTCCATGGGGCTAGGGTTTAGGGTTTAGGGTTTAGGGTTTAGGGTTTAGGGTTTCGGGTTTAGGGTTTAGGGTTTAAGGATTTAGGGTTTAGGGGCCGCGTTGGTAGTGCCAGTCTTGTAGGATCCTGTGCCATGTACTTCAAACCCTATCCTGGGTGCAAGGCCTTGGCAAGCTACTAGCAACAGCTTCCCCCAAGGTTCCCTATACAGGTACGCCATGATATGCCCTTAAGCCCTATTCCGATTGGAGGTGTGCCAACTGTCCTCCAAACACTGAAGCCCCTGACACCTATATAAACCCTAAACCCTAAACCCTAAACCCTAAACCCTAAACCCAAACCCTCAACTCCTGGGTTTCCTTAATTGAAAGTGCTGCTTTGACAGCGGCCTAGAGTAACTTTCCCCCCATGCGAGCTGCCTCGTGACAGCTTCCTAAGGGTCCAAGTACCCAAATAGTAGGGTTTAGGGTTTAGGGTTTAGGGTTTAGGGGTTTAGGGCTTTGGGTTTAGGGGGTTTGGGGTTTAGG